ACGTTACAACTTATTCAAATTTTCTCTCTCCCTTAGAAAAATATACACTGTAGGCAGACTTTTTTTTTCAGTGATGAATGTATAATTCACTCTGCTGTTTGATAGGTTAAAACTCTGTTTAAATTTGGACAAGAGTATCAAAACAGTGTCATCAATCACCCAAACTCTTTCCCGTTTAAACAGTTTGGTGTAAACACTTCACTTCCTCTCAATAAATCTCTGGAGAAAAAAAATTCTTTTCTTCCTCTAACCTTGCTGAATCTAAAAAGGTGTATATGTAGCATTCAGAAAATATCCAGCTACATGGAAATGTACGTGTATATATCTTAAACATTTGAATAAATAACTTAACAATCCAAGTCAGAATTATTCCTCTCATTACACGTGTACGCTGGGAAATCTCCCTGCATACAGTGTACGCAAAGCATAACAACGTACATGTATTCTGAGGAAAAAAGTGAGTATCCCATTCACTTTTCCTGTCCAATCTACATGTACCTGGACTGTATCAAAAGACAAACTTCATTGTGTATAATGCATATGTGACGTGGGCTGCACTAAACTGTTTAGTGGAGCAGAAGAGGCTGAATATTTAATTCTTAAAATGCTACCTGGTAGATGTACGGGTACCGGTATGTGTGGAACTGTATTCTTCATACACAACAGCTCAGCCAGTGGATAATCATTCGAATAAAAGCACATGTATCAGTACCATAAAAACAGATGAATTTAAAACTCGTTAAAAATAATATACACACACAGGAAAATTTTCTTCCTGTAGAGGCCTAAATAAACATGTACAAGTACCGGTACAGTACAGGAAAAAATATTTCTGTCCGATGTGCAAAGAAAATTGAGGTATGAAGACATTGTACGTGTATCCAGTACCAGTGCACGAACTGAATACATTTCATTGAACATGTACATGTGGTAGTGTGTACAGTTAATTTTTGCAGGTACTGCATGGACACATGTACATGTGCACCTGCAATGGCACTGCACGGATGTAAATGTACATGTACATGTTGAATTAAACGCTTGAGAATCTTTCATCACTATTTGTAATGAGCCTACAATGTATGGTACCCGTAGATGTATTTTATACACAAAGCGGTCGATATCCATGATGCATAATCAGGCCTGGGCAAACCAGCGATATCCATGAATTATCAAAGCTTGGAAACGGGGTAAAATATAAATTTAATCAAGGCTGAAACGACTAACGAAAACATTTCATCACTTTCTACCTTAGTTCTTCTAGGAAGATGCCTGAAAAAAAAACTGATCAGGGTAATGGATTTATGACAACCTGACATTAAATTGGAAGAGGGCAAATTGTTTGCACTCACAACACGCATGCACATCACACTCGGCCAAAAATTGAATTCCTGCATCAGCTAAAAGCATTGAGGTGATATCGTGCTTGATGCCTTCGGGCTGAAGGCAAATGGCAAGGACACTAAATGGACGGATATTTGACAAGGCTCATAAACAACGTGTATTTGGTATTTCCGTCCAATGTGTGTTACCCTAAATTTTCCCAGTCCTGTATGTCTTCCTCCTTGGGTATATCTGCAAATGTGTCTGCGATCAGTTTGAAAAAGGAACAGAGACGGTCATGCTTATGGGCAGTGTTACAGCCAGCCATCTTTTAGTGCAGGACAATTAAGTAATGGCAACCGGAGTCTCGCAGGTCACAGCCGGGGGTCAAGGGGCCGCTTAAGGGGACTCAACATGTAGATCCCTTTTTCAGAGAGTTTTTCTTTCCAAATTGAAGAATTCAAATTTCTATAAATTTTTAAAAATATGAAATTTTCATAATGACTAATGTCTTTCCGGGGATTTTTATGCCAGTCGGTGGGCTGTTTCATCAAGCTTAGTGCCAGACGGTAGAACACTGTGGTGGAGATCCTCGACCGCTGCTAACCTGCATAGCTACGTGTATAACACTGCATATGAGGCCTAAGCCCTAAGTGTGTATGCAAGTGTCCTACTCACAGAGGCTCTTTTGGTGTAAACTCCACTTTGCTGGTTCACGAACAACTTTGAAACACATACATTACTGGCACGTTGCCACCAACAAAATGAACACTCCCCACCAATATACATGTACATGTAGCTCTTTTCAACCGATGAGGGGGTGCTTCTGCTCAAGGCGGACTCCCCTTATTACCCAGAATTCATCACAACTGACATACATATACATGTATAATGGTACTCCCAGACTTTTCTGAGGAATTTTAGTGGACTGAGGATTGAAGATCCTGGCCGATATTACTTTTAAAAAAATTACTTTTTCAATATGGCATGTTCCCAATACATGTACATGTACTTGAAAAAGGGGGAAGTCCCTTTTTTGTTTTTCATGCGTAACCATTTCCCAAGGAGTACATGTTTATGTACATACACATGTACCTTCTCCAGAAGTTTGATACACTGTACAGTGTACATGGATGTTAAAAGTCTGCAACTGTCATGACTGCATTGTGTGCATGTTACATGTACCGTATATGAACAGGCCTCTCTTTTAATTCCATACACTTGTGCATGTACATGTACATACACTTTAGCTGACTGAAAACAAATTACATGTACCTCTAGTTGGAAATTTCACCCTAGCCTGAGGTACAAAATTTCCCTGCAAGATGTTCTGTAATTGCCTTGTACATGTAACACAACACTACCACCCCTACCACATCACGATATTTGAGTATATAAGGTATTACCTTCATGTACACAATCTACAGTGAATATTTCGTACATGTATGAGATTAGCAAGCCATTTTGGAAGGTTAAAAAGTAAGAAAAGGCTCCATGTTAAGGAACTGTGATAGTTGACAGCTCTTCTTAAGTGGCTGCCATCATCCATTGACATGCACTCAGATGAGATAAGAGATGGCTGTTTGGGTTAACCATTACTGACTCTTTGAAGTGACAGACAAACAGGGATCGCGTTCCCTCTAACAAACACCATTTGCAGCACTTGCCGTCATTTAATGGAGCCCACTCGTGGACGAGACCATATATCCTCGGTAACCAGACCTCACTGATGAACGTGACTATTGTCTTGGTGAAACAGGAACAAACAGTGAATTACATAATTGGCCAAGTTCAGACAGCTGGGTCCAACTTCATAGCCCTGCTTAGCACACAATTGTACTGTATGACTCCCCGTATTTCCTGGAGACTGTAAGCAGTAAGCCTTGAAGGCATATTTGTTGAACGTACAAGTAGTACATGTAATTGACAAAATAATGGAAGTCTCTATGCATGTGTAACAATAAGCACAACCAGGCCAAGTATTCTGTGAAATTGGGCCCTGTTCTTGATGTGTGCAATGTCCGTCTTTAGCCAAGTCATTGACCAAGTTTAGATTGTCATTCTTGATGTATGTAGTGTCTTTTAGCCAACCCAATAGGCCAGGGCAGACATCCGGGACATTCGCAAAATGCCGAGTAGTAATGCATGCCAATGAAAACAACTGCTATGTGCGCACGTACAAACAGATCAAAGAAAAGATTGGGTAGCCTGATCCTCTATCTGGTTCATGCGCGCGTCACCATGGTTGCAGTTGTTTTCATCGGGGCACTGTGGTTGCTACCTGCCATTTTCCAAAAGTCCCAGATGTCCGCCCTGGCCTATGGAACAGGCCACATGCCAAGGACTTCTTCATTCTTAATTAACCCCCAAACCTTTAGCATTTTTGCTGGGAAATTTCTGAATCAGAAACGACTGGGCTCTAGGTTTAAAATCCACTGAATCATGCGCGCAACAAAACCAGGTGTTGGGTTTTGCCGTTTACTGTTTTCATGCTTTTAGTGAAAAAATTAGAACTGCCTCCTCACAACAGCAGTGTTCCTAATTGAAACCGACATGTTTTCAAATGCCATCTCAAGAATAGCAAGACACTTTGGAATGTACCTTACATGTACGGTATGGTACAAGCCTTCAGCTGCCTGTCAGCACATAGACATGTATATACTGACAAATTCCATCCCAGCCAGCAAGTACAGTAAATCTTGTTGTTGTGAAGCCGCTGGGACAAAATTGTATTACACACACTTTCACAATTTTCCCTTGCTTCACTTAAAGTAAAATGGCAAGACAAGTTGTTTTACTCTGCCCACTCAAGCATAAAAATCAACTTGTGCCACTGACATCTACAAGTACATGTACACTGTACATGTACCAAGGATGCATATTTTCACACGAAGAATGGATTGGGTTGGAGAGTAAAATAGCCAAATATTAAATTATCTGACCTTGAGCAAGGTTTCTTTTGTGGACTGTCATTTTCAGTTACTGAAAGGCCTTCACAGGCTGTCAACCATTCCATCACCCTCGGCATACATTTTGTGCACTCGTGAGAACAACTGAACATTTACAATCCCGGTATGTAAAGGAGAGATCTGCTACATGTTTTCTTCGCATAAAGCAGTTAAAATTTTGTAGCGGTAGGAAAACAAGGTGCATATTATTTACATGTATGCAGGTGCTTGTTTAATCCACTGTACCTACCGTATTGGTATCCATTATGTGGATACTGGATCCAAGGGTCCAATTACAGTGTGAAATTTCAAGAGGTTTCAAAACTTCTAAACCCACTAGCCACATACATGTACATGTATATTTACACGTGCGTAATCAAACGATGCTTGAAAGGACTGACTGCTGAATTATAAGAGACCACCAGAAGTTTAATCATGCATGGAACATTCAGCATGATTAATGTTCATGTACATGTATGGTGTAACGAACAAATGCATTTATACAAATACCAGTGCCTACATGTACATGTATACCCGTACAGAATGCTTGTAAACTCAAGGTGTACTCTCAAAACTGAACTAAAACTAAATTTTGGATTAAGATTACTACTTTTTCAGAGGGGGGGGGCAACGTAATGTAATTTTGGAAGGGGGAAAAAAAATGATCCTTACTCCCAAGATTTTTTATTTGAGATTTGGAAAACAGATTTCTTAAGTTAAAAACTGACTTACCTCGTAGAATTTCTGGAGCCAGCCCTTCAGCATGTGCTCCGGCTGTAAACCAAAGAGAGAGAAAAAAAAAGAGTATCACACTTCCAATCAAACCAAGTTCCCTGAAATGTAAAGAAATTTGTACGATATACTGGTACACCCAGGCCTACACCGTACACTTCCTTGTGAACACCTGTAAAGTTTTCAGGTTATAGGCAATTAACATATTACATGTGCAGATGTAAACAGATCAAAAACTTTCCTTTTTCTACTCCAAGCATTCTGCTATGGCATTCATTAGAGTTACCATTACGTACATGTACATGAGAAGAAGCTCCAGAGATATAACGAGGGAGACATGTACAGTATGGAAGATAGACGGGCAATGAATATGTTTTCAATGCCTGACTCCATAATGTATTTCCAGTTGCTTAGGTAGAAATGTGCTCACATGAGAGGTGTAATGTTCAACATAAACAAAAAGGAAATATGAGTACCAGCCTAATAATAGTCATCCTGCCTCCCCCACAAAAGCTACACCGGACACAGTTTAATGAAAACTAGAATTCAAAGTAAACAATCTTCAATTCTTAGAGTCCCACACAAAATGTGCTCACAGTTCACCTCCGATAAACAGTAGCCCTACGTTCACAGAATATATGTTTTGGTTTGACTTTTTTGTGTTGTTTTTGTGTTTGTTTCTGACGTCACACAAAGGATGTGCAGGGAGAACTCTGCATCAAGTGATCGGCAAGAGAATTCACTGTCAACACTGGCCAATTCTGCGGCAAAAATATGTCAACACTTTGACATCTGAGATCTTGCAAACAAACGTTTCACAGAAGCTGAGGTTTATGAGGCAAATCCTAAAACTTCTTTTTGTCAACTGAAAATTTTGTCCTGTGCCAATTTCTAGCAAAATGACAGGTACAGGCACATGTATACACCTTTTTGTGTTTTTCATCACCAGATCACATTACATCGCTAGAAATGCTTAGACCATGTATACTTGTATCTTTAGTTATTGTAAAATTTTCATCCAGATTCATAAATAGTAAAAAATAAATCCTCACAATCGTTGAAAGTTCACACTAAAAACAGGCTAAATTCATAAACCAAAGACTACTCTTTTTGGTCTTATTTTCAGAAGCATACATGTAAATACATACATGGAATTTTTTAAGCTTTTGGTTGACCGGAAAACAGCAATTAATGTACACTTTTGGGAATTTCACAGTTGTTATTTATGTATATTGAGACTGATGAAAAGAAGCTCTACATGTATTAACAAGATGCCATATGGACATGTACATGTATGCCAAAGGTTTTGAATTAATCCACAAGCCAAGGCAGGCGATTTGTGAGTACTGCATAATTTTAGCAACTGTTTTAATACACAAGCAACACTTACGTCTTCAAATATTGATCCCACATTTGCAGTGATGAGCATCACCGATGGACAACTCTCTGCCGCCATGGCGACGTCTTCTTTCCCCCCTCAAAGTTCCTCAAAGCTCCAGCTGACAACACAGAGTAACTGCCTGGAGACGTTCGGTGACCCAGACAGCACTGAAATCTTCCTTGGAGTTCCTTGCTCCCGTGTTTCGTTATCAAGGTACTACTGTCAGCATGTGTCATCAAGCTCCCTGATATATATGTGGGATGGATCAATGTGATAACGATCCCTCTCTGCTTCTTGGATTTAATAATAAAAACCTTTAACTGGGTTGCCAGTCTAAATCTGTTGGTTGTACTGTTTATTCTGCATGGGGAGTCAGGGTACATGTACTAGAGACTTCCACTTCTTTTAATTCAGTAGGATAGTGGTAACTGGCACAGTTTCCTTGAGATAGGTATCGCTTCATCAGATCATCTTGTCCAGCTTTCAGGTGCCCTTCAAGATATGGTACCAGTCCTCCTGATTGCTAGGAATCAGTTCCTTATCAGCAGCTGCTACAAATTACTAGTACAACTGTAAAAGAAAGGAGAAAATTACAGAATAAATGACACCATAAGTGACATTTTAAATAAGTATGTGTAAATGTACAAGTACCTGCAGGTTCCCTCGTGACTTGCATGTACAAGGCAATGATTCCAATTTATGTTGAAATTGTATGTGCATGTATTGTACATTGAAACTTTCTTGAATTCCAGCTTTGTTGAAGCACAGTAGAGGTCAGATAATATACAGTGTACATGTACTGGACCATTGTACATGTATGTACAATGTACATTAAACCATAGAGCTACAAAGCCAGAGGAAACTGGTGATACTGTCTTTATACATGTACATGTATGTTAGACCAATTTGTTTGATACGGCAAATTGTTGCTGTTTTTATTTGCCAAAAAGAACACAATCATCCACCTACATGTACCCGGTACAGAAAAAATCCATTCCATTACAATTTGGGATATAGATAGAAAGGTAGTACATTTATCAATGAAAAAAATTCCAAAGAAGTTTCACGTTTGTGGTACATGTATGTACATGTACTGTGCATGTACATGTGGCATCAACGTCCACGCATGTCCATGCTTCATTTGGACTTTATAATCCCTACACGATGATAATACTTGTTTTCAATTTTTAGATGACAGACACAAAACATCCGGTGTGGTATGGAAACCTTTATCAAAGGTTATGATGTCACAATCTTCACCGGTAAATTCAATATCAACTGCGATATTTGACAAACACAAACACATGCCATCGTCACAAAGTACAGTACTTGTGCAGTGAAGTTCGAAGGCCACTTAACAATGTGTACACGTACACACACGATGGAAAGGCAGTTGTCACTGAGAAAGGCTTAAGCTGGTATGCTACTACTATGCATCTGCTTGAACGCTGGTGGAAAAAGTTCAACAGATTGTGATTGCTCTGTGTCAAAATGCCAAATGGATTATCGTGGCATATAGGCAAGGGTGAATTAAAAAAAAACTGGGCGCCGCTTAACGTACATGAAGCAGGCAGAGGTGTGAGTGTGAAGAGGTGTGAGTGTGTAGAGATGCTTGTCCCTCACCCACAAATACAATTTTTTTGTCAACCACCCACTGAACCTGTTGGCAGTGTTATAGCTATTTAGTTTTGACCTTCCTTACAGGCATCAAGAAGTGGATGAACATGGGTTGATATTTTTTCACGAGGCATTCTGAATGAAACACCAACAAACATCACGAAAAGATGCACAGCAGATTGCTGGCACAGATCTGATGATTTTGTAACTTCCCAATCTCAGTAAAATGGAGTACGTACATGTATGTACACTTGCAACATATTAAATAAAATGGAAAGAGTTCATATTTGGAAACCATGATTCTCAAATTTATATTCACCAAGAAGGTTTTAAAAAATCATCTTAACAACTTCTTCTTTTAGACGCTGGATGACGTGTAAACATGCACACTTTTCCTTATTTGTTCCATGGAGGACGTGTACACTCATTTTAAGACTTCTTTTTTCATTTCTGCATATTAATCTGTTGTGATTGGTTGCATTACAAAAAAATTGCAGGGAAAAAAATGCCCCGGCAGCTTTTTTGATTAAGAATATCCAACGTTAACTGGTTAATAATGAATTTCAAAATCTCATCAAGATCCTACGTCTTTATACCACTGGATTAAAAATGAAAGGTGATCCTTTCTCATGATCAGCATCTTACATGTACCCAGTATAAATAATTTATGATTCCCACAAAGATGTTTGTGTATACAGTGTAGCTCTATTATAAAATTATTTTAGTCTCATGGTTATTGGTATATGTATCTCATCATCTGAAAAAACTCAATCAGCAGAGAGCCATCTGCAGCTATCGCGTGAGCCCGCAGTTTTATTTAATGAAACTTTGAATAAGGTACTGACTTCAACTGCATACTAATAACTACATGTACATGTACGTGTACAAGTAGGGGGAGACTGTACTATCCTGTTGCAACTTCGTAATCAAAATGGTCAGTAACAAACACTTTAGACTGAAAAAATGTTAACACAAGTTTGCAAACAAAACCCACACATGTACTTAAAAACTTTTCACAAATGACTGTAGACATTGCAATGGAGGTACATTTACGATGTAACTGCCTTGATGCCCAGGTCTTTGCCTTGATGACCATTAAAATGTAAGGAGAAATTTTAGAATACCCCACCACTCAAAAATACACCCCTAAAATCACTGGCTACAGGTTGGAATTGCTGATTAAAAATATCAAGGCCAAGCAAATGAGAAAATGAATGGGGATGTTTCTCAGAACACAGGAACACAAAGTGAACTGAACCCCCTTGACGGCTACACAATGTGGCATGGTTACGAAGTGGAAGCCCCATGTCTGAGAACAAAGCAACACAAAATCAATGGAGAATGTTGAAATTAGTTAAGGATTTTTGCGGTTACACCATGTACAATATTCTCTTTTATGAGTATGTGTGGTTCTGAGAAGAACCGGTTTTACTCTTGTTGAAACTCTTGTTGAATGTTGAAACATTGTACATGTAATTCCAAACCAACAAGTACTAGTAGTACTACTCAGTTGGGGGCTAGGATATGGCATACCAATATCTTTACTAGGGAAATCGAGCATGATTGGATCACAAGCAGCATGGTATTCTGTAATTGTGTCAAATGTTTTTTTCCCCACAAATTGATTTTCTAAACAAGTGCCCTTTATGAAAGAGAAATTGCCTTAAACTTTCAAGAACGAAGTTTCTGCCCTACAAGGATGTACATGTAGGTCAGGCACGATTGGTCAATATGTGCGATCGCTTCATCTTTGCAAAATCAGTTGATCTGCATGATTGATTTGTCGATATTTCTGCCATCATCCAATTGCCTTTTCTATCTAATTCACGGTTGTGAAAAATAGTTGCAAAAAGGGAAGTTGGAGATTAAGTAGCAGAGTTGACTAATTATGTAGAGACTTTGGGCAATAATACAGATCAGTCAAATCATGGAGGAAGGAAAAAAGATGCATCGTGCCCAGCTTTACATGCAGGTCAAGTGAGGCTACATGTACTGATGATGTGTATCAATATGGACAGGTACAAACAATACATTTCATCATGTTCAGAACATGTACACTTTATCCATGTGCAGTTACTGCACACATGTAGGCTATGTACACTAAACAAGTACGTACTTTAAGTTGTAATGAGCTAATGTGGCAGCAGGGCTGATAATTAAAGTGCAGCAGGTACAGTCAGACAGTGTCATTCTTTAATTTAACTAACACGACCAGCATGAGCAGACGACTAACGTAATTTACAAATTACAACAATACAAGAAGCCTCGAGTTGAGTGGAAGCAATGGCAAAGCATTGACTGGGAATGTCGATGGCAATATAGTATAGCCCAACTGAATCCAAGAATCCATAAAGTGCATACCTTATTAAACGTGAACAGCCATCCCAGCGAGACAAGAAACACATAAGTAGCATTCCTCAATCACAACTGCAAATGACGTGAAGTGTGGATCCGTCAAATTCGTCGGACTGCTAATACAGCTCTGTGCTAAGGCCGCAGGCTGCATTACACACTGTGCCCGCATCATCTGTGGTTGGAAGTGGAGTAACCACACATTATTTTGTACACAAACGCAAGTCCAATAGATTGGCCCAATAGTTATCTAGCTTTGTCGACGTTGATCCACACGACTAGAGGTATGGGAGCACGACTGAGCAAAGCGGTATGACGTCAATCGCCGCCCTGTCATCTGTACTGTTTGGTGGTCTGGAGGTTAAAGGCATAAAACAGCCGTAGTGTAAGGGCATTGATTTTCAGCAAAGAATGCCGCCCTCTACTATTAGTTAGACGATATCAAGATATCCTCCCAAAACATAAAACGAAGGGCAAACAGCACCCGTTTTCCAAGAACGGTATTTTTCTTATAAATACTGTTACTGATGGAGAGAATCATTTGCTTGTTTGTTTACCTTAAAATAAGAAGTACTTTCTGAAACAAAGGTACCACTAACTTTCCCTTTTCGTCAATGCCAATCCATGCTCAGCAGACTTGATTCGATCAGGCTATTATCAGTTTTCAACCTAGAATTATTTTAGATTAAATTAATATCAGTTCATAAATGAACACAAATCCTCCAATATCTGTCACGGTGGTTCTATATTGCAAATTTTGGAGGAAAATATTAGTTACCAAAAACATAAATTGAAAAGAAAAAAAAAGAAAAACGGCCTCCCATCTCCCCTCACAGCCGTCCTTTCCTCGCCATTTTGAAAAATCAAGAAATTATTTTTCAACACATCTCTATCTCTAGACCTCGGTATTATCACTCCCATTTAGGCCTGCTGAATATGAGAAACGTGCAAGTCTACCAAACTATTAAAGCTTATTAGTCTCTGTAGCTCTCTAGGGCTACGTTCATTAA